AGAGAGAGATGGAGAGAGAGAGAGAGAGAGAGAGAGAGAGAGAGAGAGAGAGAGAGAGAGAGAGAGAGAGAGAGAGAGAGAGAGAGAGAGAGAGAGAGAGAGAGCTAAGAATTTATTGCACCTGAAGGGGATGGGCAACATTAGATCTTTACAAGTTTGGCTTTTCTGTGAACTTATGATAACGCTGGTATGGCTGAATGGGACGCGTTTTTAGAGATGCTGTCAGTGACTTCGTCGCCCTACCGTCCTCAAATTCCCAACAGCGTGACCTTTCTCTCATCAGGAGAGTTACGTAAGAGCACACGCACGGGTGGAGAATGTTTGAAAAGTTACCCCGGCCGGCGACCGAAAGTCAGAAAGACGATGATGCTCAAATATTTGTCAACGGTTATCAACAAACCCCTTTTCTGTGGCATAGAATAATGGATGTCTGCCGTTTGTACGTTTTTAGGGAAAACTGCTGCACGCAGGTGCGGAAGATGTCGTAATTGTAACAACAATTTTGCAACACGCCTTAAAATTTCGGACGCATGTCACCTAGTGCTAGGTCAGGTCATCAGGTCAAATTTGCTGGATGATCGTGCTATAAATGCCATCATGCCCTTTGCAAAGCTTATTCCGTGGAAGTTGCAACCTTCCCACACAAAACGAAATGTCAAATTTGACCGTTTTGACCCTCTTATTGATTTGAGCTCGCACCTGAAATATTATTCGCGACCGAGCCTTAAACGAGTAATCGAATGTTTTGTTTGCAGTGTTTAAGCTCCGTTATGTTCATGAACTGTGAGAAAAGTTGTCGGAGAACGCTAAAATCAGAGAAATTTGGCTTTTGATGATCTATGGTGATTTTATTATTGGGCTTGCCTAAAACATGACCAGATTTCTCTTATCACGTTTGTCGCTCTTTCAAACGTCGTTCCGCTTCTCGCCTCGTAGCCCAGTAGCCGAGTTAGAAGGAGCGTGAAAAGCCCACCTCTCGACTCAACGTGTTACGATAAGGCCACCACCCTGGCGCGGGTTAAGTTGGGGGAGCCTTGAGCCCCAGCAGCTCGTCCTTCTATCTCACTGATATTACCCTCGTCCTGTCTTGTGATGTTATTACAGTGCCATCTTACGATAACGGCCCTTAAATATGATTTACTTCTGTTTGATGAAACATGTGGCCGGGGCAGGTTCTCCACCCATGAGCACACGTTTCAATTGCACAAATTGTCATGCTCATTACGCCGAAAAACACGTTAGACACGTTAGCATGCTATAACGTTCTAGAGAAAACTATAAATGTAAATTTGCAACTACATATTTTGACATCGATTTGCTCTCACTGCCGGATATTTTCAGCCAGCCCGTAACACCCATTTCCTGGCCAGCCGAGATAGGGGACACCGCCGCGCCGGTGACGTAACGCTGTCGTGGGAACTCCGCCACTGACCGTCTGTTCTGTATCACAGTGACGTCACTATGACGTCAGAGAGCAGCCGCCCAGTCTGCCTGTCTATCAGACGGCTGGTGTTCCGAGCTCTGTTTGAATTGCAGATGCGGGAATGTTTGGATGTTTGTGTCTTGCCGAGAAGGTGATGTCATTAGTTTCCACGCTATCCCTCCCCCACACTTTCTTAGCATTCATTTACATGGAAAAGTTCTGTAAGTTTGTGAGTTCCCCTTCCGTAAATTCCCGCTCCGTAAGTTTCTGACCGCAGCTGACAATAGACCATTTCACTCTATAATGGCGATATATGCGCTTATCGCCACAGCCGAGACTGAAAGGGAATGTACCCAAAGAAGTGACATTGGCTACATCGCTCGGTATATCAGACTCCTGACACGGGGATGCTCTCCGGTTGGTGGAAGCAGCCGCTGAGCCAGTTGTATGTGACAGATTCAGCCCGGACCATTGGACATGACAATCTTTGATCTCTCTCTGTATGCTCCTGATAACGCGAAGGAGTTCCCCCATCGAACAGCCAATGCCAGGACCTGAGCACCAAATCCGCTGTGAGTGTCGCAGGCTCCGATTTCCTCATTCGGTCTGCGAAAATATTGAAAATGAATCCAATTAAAATCGAAGATCACAATACAAATACGTTTATTAGAAACATTTGAAATAACATTAATTCATGTGAGGTATCACTCATCTGTAAGGATGTCGTCACAGAATCATTCAGATCTAAAAATTCACTCCGTTGTGCTAGGATGAACATGGTGCGCTGATTTTAATCTGACATTGATCAGTCCTTCCGAACGTTACAATGCCAAACTATGTAGATAAGCGGGCCTTTATCCGTCAGACACCTGCCCCTGATCACCTGGTACCGTAGCATACCGCGCGGTTGTCGTCGTACTGATATTTCTGTGATAGCTGTCATGATAAATCATCCAAATGATGTTTTCTAAGAGACTAAAAGCGTGTATAATCTCTTATATCTCATTTTTTATATAGTGTTGGAATGTAACGGTAGGTACGTACCTAAAGCTGATGGGATGATCCTTTCAACAATGCTGATGAACTGCATAGATTTGTGACATTGGCTCATGAAGAATGGACTGAATATGCCGTGTAAGGTTGGAGTTAAAATATTAGCAACTGTAGGGTGCGAATCAGCATATCTTGATGTTTATTTTGACAAGGTATCAAAACAATGTGCTATTACCTTTATAGTAAAATGAATATCATCACAAAATGTTTTAATAGGAGTACTCAGGTCATTCAGGTCACCTTCATTGTCACTAGCTGTGCTGTAAGTTTCTGGTAGTGTGTCAATATCGCCAGGCTTTCCTAAATCACACAGGCATCACATCTCCACAAATTCTGGTAAGCTGACACTCCACAGAGCCCTAATGGATTAACCCGCGCCCTGCTGGGGGGGGGTGTTTGAACACCCCCCTTGTGGTTTTTCGCGAATATCTCCAAAACGGCGGCGCGGAGCGCCGCCGTTTTTGGTACACCTTATCATACATCAATTCTACACATGTTGTAAAAATTTCAGACCAAGGTCATTCAAGGTCAGGTCACCAGGTCACTTGAAGTGACCTCACCTCATAAAAACTTTCAATGTCTGTCATAGCTACACCGAGTGACCGATCGCTTTGAAACTTTTAGCGATTGCTAAGGGCAATAGCATGTACAAAATGTATATCTCAGAATTTTGATATCGATGACCTAAGGTCAGGTCAATTTTGCGACCTCGCCATTATAAGTCAATGGGAGAAAATTGAAATGCGCCTCTTTTGGATGCAAGACATTATAAACACTCCCAAACACCGAATTACAAGTGTTTAAGACACACTGAACATGAAAATGGTGTCCGTGACCCTTGTTTATGCCCTGAGGTCATCTTAGGTCACGAATGGTATCTAACAGTTTTTCGCAAATAACTTTTGATAGAGGCATGCTAGAGCGATGAAAACGCCTTAGATGTGTTCAGCTCGACGGTACGGATCGACTGATATGCAACATGACCCTTTCCGGTCAAGTCATGACCTTGACCTGAGGTCAAATTTTCAAGTTGACCTTTCAAGGTCAAGTTATAGATCATTCGATGCGTCTTGACGAGAGGAACACGATGCCGGTAAAAGTAAGCTCGTACAAGGCTTGTGTCAAAAGTTATTGCAGAAAAACTGTTTTCGAAAAAATCGGCTATTTTTGCCGTTTTTGCCCCCTGCAGGCAAAACCGTTGACGTTAGGTCAAATCTGAGAGAATTACTCAGAAAGGGCGTTAATAGGGCTATCGAATGCGCTTTTCCGCGGCGCTGTAGCTCTATTGGTTCCGGAGCTATGCGTTGGCTTCTTAGAAATTTTCGACATTCGACCTGGAAATCGGCGAAATTTTGCCTTCAATGACCTCTGGTGACCTGACCTTTGACCTGACCAAAAAATTGACCGAAGTGATTTCGTCATTATTTTTGACGCTCTTTCGAACGCCGCCTTCCGCGTATCGCTACGTGGCCCAGGAGCCGAGTTACAAGGGGGGTGTTCAAACACCCCCCCCAGCAGGGCGTGGAAATCCAGGACCCCCAGCCGGGCGCGGGTTAATTAACGCAAGTTTCCTCCGTCTAAGACGTGCCATATGCCACGGGTATGCCCCGATGGTTCCTGCTCCGTTCCGTGGCACGTGCTGTGCCCCTCCCCGACGTGGTGCCACGTGCCACCGCCCGCCCCCCCCCCCCCCCAGTTGGCCGCGTGCCGCCACATGACCCCAAACAATCACCGCTGCAGTGTTTCCCAGACGACGCCGTCTGGAAAGTCTCTGTCTGGGGCCGGGAGCGGAGCGCCGGGTCGGAACCGGCCCGACCGGACTTCCCGCGCCGCCAGCTGACTGTGGGTGTGTGACGTCACTGGTGGTGGTGGCGGTGACGTCACTGGCCGCTGCGGTACGGGGCCGGCCGCTCAGACGGCGGTCAGTCGCTGCGCCGCCGCGCTGCCGAGGGTTGTGGCGCCCGTGTCCGGAGAGAGGGAGGAGCACAGGGAGAGAGCGGGAGAGCTGGTCTCGCACACAAACAGGGCGGCAGACATGAAGGTGCTATTGGTGAGTGCTGGTGGCCTCCAAATATGATTATTTGTTCAATATGTAGTACCGTTATTTTTTCGATATTGATGTCCTCGTATAGTCGTAATTACATCCATATAGACTTGAACCGTTTCCTTTTTGGTATCTGCATTGAGCAACGACTTTTTGCCGTTGTCACCCACCTATTTCGTTGTGCTTCAGTTCTTAAATCAACTCTCGAGGAAATAAACTCAATTGTGTCGATAGGCAGCGCTGTCATTTGAAACATGATTCTGCAATAATTTGCAGCCTCTATTGGTCAGCATACCACCAGTTCAGCCTATTTTAGTGGAACATATTGTGATAACACAAGCATCATAAATAAATAAGCAGAAGATCCAGAAAAGCTGTGTTGGCCGCTGCTAGAATGGAATAATAACTATTGTTGATTTTGCATTAATTTGCGCTACCGTGGAGTTTTAAACCGTGCCTTATCTATTAATAGACGTTGCTGGAGTTTTATCAAGAAAAAAGGCAAATTTGAAAAAAAATGGACGCATCCGGAGCGGGCTCGTATGCCCTAATTACCACTGGAGTCGCCTGTGTGCATACCTAATAAACTATTTGTGCCGTTTGCATTACGTATATCAGGCGCCAAAAATAGAGCTTAGGGGTTTGAATGGGCAGCAGGCTGGATTCACACACCCATTTCGTTCGGTTATATGTCCATTGTCCACCCATCCTGATACGAACCAGGACTGGTGGGTGGTGGATGTCCCGACAGATTACAAACAATCAGCGTGCACATACAATCAGCAGGTATTGTTTAGGCACCTTTCCGAATACTGCCAAGCGTGAGCATCACCCAGAGCAATTCTGAGGTCCCACCCACGCGCAATATTCCCACCCCGTTTCCCCTGTGCGTAGTAGAGACTGCTATCGTGCATAAGAGAATAGCGGCCAAAGCGCCCCGTACAGCCACCCCAATCAAATGGTTGCCATGGAAACTGCACACCTGTTTCACAATGAGATGCTGAATTTGATCAGATGAGTTGAAATTGAAGGTCATCCATGCCCGTGATGTTCATCCCACAATACGGCTATTCCAGTCCGACACCCTTGACCTTGGTCGTCCCGTATACCACTTCCCGGAGCTGTGGGTCGGTCCAACCGGACCCCCCTCCCCCTCCCCCTCCCACGGACCAGCTGGGAGGGGATCAGGGGCGGCTCCAGACCACCGACTGGGGAGGCCGGCGGCCGGGATGGCCTCTTGTGCCGAACTGCGGTCTCCCATACGCACAGCGGAGCGTTGCCTAGCAACGGCTGTGTTACCATGACAACCAGGTGACTATAGAGCGGAGCGGTTATTCTCTTGTGCCAAACTGCAGTTCCTGGCACGCACGGTGGGGTGTTACGTTGGAATGGGAGAAACGTGGGTAATCATAGCGGCGAGCTATGATTATAACCATGGCTCAGATCTTTATACATCTTCTATGTACTCAGAATGGACATTTTGAGAGCACTGAGCATTGCGCCACAGTGCAACAAAGTAGCTTCTGGTGCTCTTTATTAAATGCTGGTTTGCGATGCATATTTGCTTTGTCTGGTCTGAAACTGTGAGACGCTTTATGCCTTTGAGTCATCCAACCAGCTTGTTCATCATTCTGAATTGAATGTCATTTCCTTATACTGGAACTTGGAAGGGACATGATATGCTAGACGTCCCATTCAAATGAGTTTTAGCCAGCGTGACTCAACCATTGACCTATAATAAGTATAGACAGACTACACTGGCTTAATCAGCGCCTGAAGGCCGTTCCCGCTGAGCGACACTAGCGCCACCGTACGTGTAAGGGCACGAACTAATGACATAATGCTTTGTCTATGGGAAAAACGCGAAAGTTTATCAACTTCTTTCTCGTAAATAACACGACGGAACGGAACGAGACTGCGTCTTCAATGTAGAAGCGTCCAAGCTTAATCACTGGAACATAGCACAAAGTCATAGGGTGAGGAACACGGCACGCGCCACGTGCCAACTAAATGGTGACAAATTTGTTCGATCAACAATAACTTTACGACGACTGGGTTGATTGAACTGAAACTTGGCATGTCGGTGGACATGCAAATGATAATCCATTTCCACGTGTCACGGTTTGGGTGCTGCTGCACGTGCGCACGCGCAGGGTACGCTTCCAGATCTCGAGAACGGCTGGGTCGATTGCGCTCAAATTTGGTACGTCGTTAGGGACCTTTTGACAGGGTGCCGTGCACAAGTCAGTTTGGGTCCAGCTTGCACGTGCGCACGTGCAGGGGTCGCTTCCACATCTCGAGAGTGGCTGGGCAGATTGTGCTCAAATTTGGTACACCGTTAGGGACCGTTTGGCAGGGTGCCGTGCACAAGTCAGTTTGGGTTCAGCTTGCACGTGCGCACGCGCGAGGGGTCGCTTCCACATCTCGAGAACGGCTGGGGAGATTGCGCTCAAATTTGGTACACCGGTAGCGACCGTTTAAGAGGGTGCCATGCTCAAGTCCATTTGGGTCCAGTTTGCACGTGCATACGAGCACGTGCAAACTTCACATCTCGAATGAGCGGCTTTGCCATTGCGCTCAGAATCGTCATTTCTTGATCCGTTAAAGGAGCATTCGGCTTCACTATCACGTAGTTTTGCAGCTCTCATGCGCGTTTCTCTTCATGATTGCGAATTCGATTAATACAGTTTGGTAGTTGATTTAACATTATGTATGTATTGTGTATTTAAGATGAAGCTCAGCAGTAACATTCATGACGTCATCAGAGCATCGTCAAAGCGTATGAAGACATGAAAATAATGTTCATGGTAGTACAGACTGTGGGATGAGTGGCGATATAGGTACTCTTACCAATCTGAGTGCACACTGCACATAATGATGCATCATTTCATTCACCCATGAGCCTCTTTAACCCGCGCCCGGGTGGGCCTTTCAGCCAACTTCGCCATAGTGATGGGAGGAGGGGGGACGTATTTGTCCACGCCATATTATCTCGCAAAGGAAGAAAGGTAGAAAGATGCGGAAAGGGTAGTAGGTAGCTCGCTATAAGAACTTCTAGATAATTTTTCGATCAGGTCATCGCTAAACGTCACTGGTGATCACCAAAACTTCACGAATTCTGGTTTTAGATTTTAACAACGTTCCACAAATCAGCGCACACACAAGTAAATGAGGGGCCTTCTGCTCTTGAGCAATTACGTTGAGCCACGCAAGAAATGATTAAGCCAGTCATTAACAGGTCACACTTGGTAGGCATTTCGACTGTTGCAGTCTTGCTGAGCTTCCATTCAGTTTTCTTGACGGCTCCAGCCTTCATCATGTTTAATTGCAGTAGCAACTTACAACTGAAGTTCGTCAATCTTTTTTACTTTATATGTTGGCCATAACTCGGGCTATGCCTGGTTCAGTTGACAGATGAATTCCAGCACACACCAGAAGCCTTCCAGCAATAGGAACAGGCCTGTGCCTTCTTAGGTAGACCTTGGGTACTCTTCTTCCAAACCGTTTCTTATGACATTTGTGAAGATTGCAAGTGTCTCTCAGTTTTTTTTTCTTCTCTTGACTCTAGCCATTATGATAAAATTATCAGTGTCTGACTGCTCTGGCAGATAAACATGGGATAAATTTAAAGAAAATGAAATAAAATGCTTTAATTACATAAATCCCAAATATTTCAGAACACACTGTTTGAAACGCTTGCTGTAATAACGCAAGTCGATTTTATCGCCTTGAAATGATTCACTTATCACGTGCAATATGTGCTTGATATTTGTTTGTGCTCTTTATTGGTGACAAACTATCTTTTCTTGTTTAATATGCACAGGACTGTCAACACACCTTACGCAATTTGCAATGCGGCAACTTGTGCGGCAACAATAAATGATGCCGAGGACTTTGTTTATTCCGTTACCATGGAGACGATTTCGTGAGGCTTGACTTCAAACCTTAACCCGCGCCCCGTAGGGCTACCGGCGGACCCTTCCACCCGTAGGGGGGGCCGTTTCGGCCCCCCCTAAGATCTCGGAAAGTTACCGGCCGATTTTCAAAATTCAAACGGCGTTTGATAGCCCTACCCGGGAACTACCTTGTGACCAAATTTCATTGACCTAGGTCAAACCGATGACGTCACAGGTCAGGTCAAAGGTCAGATTTTCACCGTTCACAGGCAATTCAAGAAATGTGCTGTGAAATCGAGTAAATTGGTAGTTTATTGAAAACCATCGATGGTATATTGTTCGTCAAACACATACTTTGCTATCTGAGGTCACTGATACCAGGTCAGGTCACAGCGAGGTCAGGTCACCGGGGGTCACAATATGAATGTGTCGTGTGATACATGTTTTATGGTCCATTTTACATGACAAATGCGATTATGTGGGTTAGGCAGCCTTTGGGGCCAGCCTAGGTCACGTTTTGGTGAAGGTCAGGTCAAGGTCAGGTCAAATTAGGTCAAATTTCAAAGTTGATATTTTTGCATAAAATGGGTATCCATTCGATGCAGCTCGTCACGGGGAGTCTAATGGTGGTCTTTGTTTTGCTCTACGAGTTCTAGAATTGCCAAAAATTGAGTTTGAAAATTTGACGTCATCATTTTTGAACAGTTTTTTCGCTATAACTTGGCCAAAAAACGAGGTATCGATCTGAAATTTGGTATGTAGATAGAAGACGGTAGGTACTATCACATATATTCCGGTTTTTTCGAAACTCAAATTTTTTTTTGGATTTTTTGGCTAATATATCCAAAAAAATGCTTTTTTGATTTTGGGGGATCAAAACTCAAAAATTTCAAAAATCCGAGATAGCAGTTTTGTAGCCCTGTCAATTCTACACCTTTTATGTCTTAATCATTTTTCTGTATCTTCAAAGCTGTAGGCCTGACAGGTCTTCTCGCGAAGGTCTTTTTTCGGTCGAAAATGACAGAACATGACGTCACTCTGACGTCATTTGTGGCCAACCTATCACAGCCTCTGGAAAAATTTTTGGTCACAATGTGTAAAATTGATGCC